CGGGTGTCTGGTGCTGGCGTGGGGCTGGACTGGCTTGCGGTGATAACCCTGCGGACGCACTCAGCCCCGGGCGCAAACGCCTGCAGCTAGCAAGACAGTGCCTGTGGCTTTCTAGGGGAAAACAAAGATAAAATACAATCCAAGACAGCAGCGACCAAAGGGGACGCAGCGAACTTCCTCAAGCCCCTCTGAATGGCAACTCCGCAATAAACAGTCTTTTCTTTAAAGAACTGCGGCCGATTTGAGGGATTTTTCCACCACCGAAAAGAAATGAACAGGAGATGGAGGCAACATCCCTAAATTTATAATAATGCATGTAAACATGCGACACGCCACATATATGTATATGTGCATTAATATGGATGTGGTTGGGCACATACCTATCTAGACACCATTGACTTGCCTGGTCAAAGAATGAGGCTTAGACAGTTCGTGCTTGGAAAATGGTGCCGTTTATCTTTAAGGAGGCTAGAAAAATAAGAGATGAGGCTCACGTTGCACGGATGACATCACTAGCTTTTGGCTGCGCGCTCCGTGTTCTCGTCTGTGGGTTTTAGCCAAGGCTGCAGCGCCCGGCGCCCGAGCGAGAGAGCGCGGCAGCGGCTTCCTCGGGCGCCCGCACCCGGGCCAGGCGATTTCCCGAGCCCCCCGGGCGCAGCCTGGGCTCCCGCTGCTCAGCCCCCGCCGAGTCCGCGAGGCCCCGGAGTCGCCGCGGCTAGAAGAGGAGACGGGGAGGGGAAGCAGAGCGACCCAGCCTCCCTCCCCCACCCTCGCCCCATTCACCTCGGAGACCCCCGGGCTCCGGGAGCCTGATGGTGGGATGCCCAGGCAGGGACCGGATTCTCTGCACGCTGCCGAGTGAGCCGACATCTCGGCCCTGGGTGGGCTGCGAAGAAAATGGTGCAGTCTGAGAGCGGCTGACCCCAGTTGGGCAGAGCAGACGCGGTGCTCGGGCGCCGGGGCTCAGGTGGCGGGAGAAGGGGGCGGGTTGTTTTGAAAGGCCGGGGCCACTGTTTTCCTCGGTGCCTGCAGCATTTTCTTTGCACTTGGGCAGCACGTTCCCGGGGCTGCCCGGGAGCCAGATGAAGTGAGGCGGCGGCGGCGTCGCGGGAGAGTTCTGGGGGCGGCGGGGTGGACACTCGGGGAAGAAAACCGCGCTGGGAAGACCCGCATGACGCCCCAGGGGCTGGCTGCCGGGTGGGCGGTGCGCCGCGGTCCTGCGACCTGTCCATGGTGTTGAAAGGCGCCGTGCGCCCAGCTCCGCGCCCCGCGCCGTGTGGCCTGCGGGTGCACCCTCCAACGCGCAGCAGCGGCCGCCCAGTCAGCGAAGACCCAGACACCGCTCGTCCGTTCAAGGCGTCTGCGTGACCGCCCGTCGGCCTAGGGGCAGCCTGCATGGCGAGGCCAGAGGCAGACGACCCGGGATCTCGTGGCGAAGGGTCGGCCGGGACCGTGCGCCCACGGGAAGCCCGCCTCTGAGCGCTGCGCGCTGGCCAGACCCGGCAGCGGACCTGCTGGTGACCAGAGCACGGAGATTTTTTTTAAAGACCGGACCCAGAGAGGAACCTTTCTTCGCTTGCAGACCGGAAGGGGGAGAGTCGCTGAGAGGGGGACCTAGGCGGGACTCGGGGCAGCCGGCCCTGACATCTGGAGGTTTCCTTCTCTGGCCGGCCGCATCGCGGGCATTCCAGTTCCTCCTGTTGCCGAGCGGCTCCTCCTGACTCCCAGCCCACCCCGGGAAAGCCGGGCTAGTGCGTCCCGTCGCCGCCCTGCACAGAGAAAGCCCAGCAGCCCCGCCACAGCCGAGGGCACTTGGCGTTAGTTTCCGGCCGGAGGGCAGCGGCGCCCGAAGCCGGGCTGCGTGCCGACGGGGCCGGTTCGGAGCAGTTGCTTCCTGTGGGGCCGGGAGGGGGCGGGAGGTGGCCTTGTCCGGTTCGTCGCCGCCGCCGGAGGCTGCACCTGCCCGGGAGGAGGATGCCCAGGAGCTGGCCGGAGCCTCTCCGGATCAGAACTTTGTAGGCTGCCCGCCCCCATCCCCGCAGCCCCTGGGCCGCGCACCGGCAGGTGGGGGCCAAGGGGGCGCCGCCGCGAGTCCTCCTCCGGTCCCCCTCCCCACTTGGCTCCGCCGCCCGCCGCTTTGTTCCGGGCGCGCGTCGGGAAGGCGAGGCTGCGGCGGATCATGCCCATGGTGTAGCCGCCAAGCGGAGGCATGGCTGCCGGAAGGTTACTGCTCTACACGGGCCTCTCGCTAGCGCTCTGCGCCCTCGGCATGCTGGCCGTGGCCATCTGCTCGGACCACTGGTACGAGACGGACGCCAGGAAGCACAGGGACAGGTGCAAGGCCTTCAACACCCGCCGGGTCGACCCTGGCTTCATTTACAACAACAACAACAACTTGCCGCTGCGGGCGAGCCGCTCGCGCCTGGACCGCTGGGAGGGCAAACTCCTCCGCGCGCGGAATCGCCGGCAGCTCTTCGCCATGAGCCCCGCCGACGAGTGCAGCCGGCAGTACAACTCCACCAACATGGGCCTCTGGAGGAAGTGCCACCGGCAGGGCTTCGACCCCGAGATCGCCGCGCTCATTCGGAAAGGTAAGCGCGGAGGGCCCCGCGCCCCTAGGCCTCGCAGCAGTCTCTTTCCTTAGCCTGGCCGCAGCCTGCCAGGCCGCCCGGCTCCAGGAGGTCAGGTTACCCAGGCCCGCCCGAGCCTTGAAGGGGTAGAACTTGCCCCCCAGTAGCTGCTTACGGAGGCTTAACCTCTCTCCGACCCGGCCCCTTGTCTTGCGTTTGATTCCATAGGAATCATGGCCCAGGGTTTTTATCCAGGGTAATGCTTCATCAGTTTCTGAGAAGAAAGGGAATCTACAATGTTGTGCTGTTAGCAGAGGAAACCCTTTAAGAGCGATGTGTCGGGGTAGACAGACTCCCAGTTTTAATCTTTATTTTAGATGTTGAACTGGGTCATCAAGGGAAATTGGGGAAAACATCTCAGATAGAAGGTCTTATTCATACCAGAAACGTTTGCTAAGTGCTATACTCTACCAAGTATGGTGCAGGCATTGGTCATATAAACATCAATAAATCACAGATCCTGCCCTATTGCAGCTTAAAGCCTGTTGGCCACTAGCATCATACTGCAATTCTTGATTTCTCCTTTTGAGAAAGAGGTTGTCGGAAGTGACTTGTGTGCATTGAATATTATCAGGTTCTAACTAGCACAAAAAAGTAGTTCTTCAAGTAACACCAAGGTAGGCAGTGCAGAAAGAAAAAAAAAAAAGTATTTTCAGAAAACTTATGTACAAAATATCCGACATGTACCAAAACAGAAAAAAAAACTGCATTTGCTAATGATAAAATTTTATTGGATACTTTAATACGATCACATGCATTTTTAAAAGTCTGCTTATTGATGCAATTTGTAAGTCTTGAATGATATATACTTTTGGGACCATCCTGTTCCATTAACCCACTGAAATACTGTTTGGATATACATGGAAGAGGGATTATGTTGTGTTCTATGGTAGTTACATCCTGGAAGATATGGTGCGATTTTATGATTCTTTTTCTCTCCCCTCCATTTCATTCTCTTCAACTATTAAATGATGATGGCAAGGTAAAAATGATGTTGCTTATCTGTAATCTTTGAAGCCAAAATAGAAAACAGTTCTTAATATCGTTTAATATTATAATGCAGGTTTAATGCTGTTTAAATATAATTTGTGAGAACAGATGTTCTTTGATTTATAAAAATATTGAAATTGATCAGAAAAAATTGTTAATAAAAAATGTCAACTGTTTAAGAATGACAAGCAGTGGGTATGGTCTGGGTAGTCACTCAGATTGAGGTGAGGTAGGTCTATCTTAATGTTGTTTTGTAGGTTCTTAAGAATGACTAGGGATTTTAGCAGATTTAGTTTTGAGTGTATTAATATTACAAACATCACATCCGCTTCCTAGTTAGTCTCTTACTAGAGCAGAATGACCCATTTGGAGCTCTACGACTTTGTAAAAGTATGGGATATTAGAGAATTCAGAGAGCGATTTGAGTTTGGATTTAGAAGTAGGAAAACAAGAGCAAGAAGCATCATTTCTGACAGTGGGTGACTTTATAGCAGTTTCCAGATTCTCAGACTCATAAAGTTGTTGTTTTATCCATCATTTTCTGCTTTCATAAAAATTGGATTGGTAGGAAGTTAGTTGAAGTGTGGGGAAGAATTCATGTTGCTAATGGCTGACAAAAACTGGTAGGACTTGCTGAAGGACATTCTTGAATTTTCTTCCTTGAATGCCTCCTGGAACAAGACAGGTGTCCTTCCGTCTCATATGATTAACCCCACTTTGAAAAAGGGGGATGGCATTCATGGCTTCTGGTGGTTGCAATGAGGCCTTTGATTTCATGTTGCTCTGCTTGGCAATCCGGCTTGAAAGGTTGACTTGGTCTGTGCACCAGAGGGATTGGTTACCATAGTGACATGTTCTTCCGGTGAAGCTGGAAACACAGTGACAGGGAAAGGGATAGGGGAAAAATGTACAACATTTTGACTTTGTATTGACTGATTTTTAATTGCAGAAACAGAAAATGGACACGGCACAGCAGGGGGATTGAATGCACTGATACCTAGAGCTGGCAGGGCATTGTATTTCACTTCAACTAATGGAAATCCTCTTCCCCATCACCCAAAATGCAGCAATCACTGTCAGCGGCAAGCACCCGCTTACTATGGCCGTTTCTGACCGTTTGACATTCTTGTTAGGTATTATTGAGATAGATGGAATGCCAGCCTTACAAATCTTCAGAGACTTAGGTCACTATTTTCATTTTTAATCTCAAAACATAATCTTTGAAAGCCAGATCTTCCTTCTCTGAACAGTGCTAGACATATTTTGGAAATAAGTGCATCTTATATTAGGAGAATTCACTAGCCATTCTAATAACATACGGAATGTAATTTCTAGACTTAATCAGTCAGTATTCTTCCTAGATTGGCAGATTTTAGAAAGAGGTTTAAAAAATGAAATTAATATCCCTTTTTGGAAAGATATTTATCTCTCAGTATTCATTATCAGCCTTAAAAAATATCTTGGGGCTTTGTCTTTCTTTGAAATGTCTTAGATTAAAATTCTGGGTGATATGTGTTGGGTAAGGGGAAAGAGAAACCAGAGAAAAGACTATTAAAAACCTGTCAATATTATGGGAAAATTAGAGATTTATCTAAATGGTTATACAGCCCCAAAGAACTTAGTCATTTATTAAATCAGTGTTCATTACATCAGAATGTGCTGTTTGTGCATTTTAAATAAAACAAAACCACATAATTAATAAGAAAACAAAAGTCAAATCTATATTTGATTTGAAGATTAAGTCTTTTGGGCTCATGTTCTTTCTGAAATCCATTTTTTTCAGTGCCTGGCTGCCATGATTGTACCCACAAATATGCATTTCTGGTCACTGTGTATTTATTTGTTTGTCTTATTCAACTGTAAGTTCCTAGAGGGCAGGACAAACAATCATTTTAAAAATACAGCCACCAGCTGGATGTGTGCTACTTGGGAAATGTCACATAGAAATTGGGTTCATAGAAGTGTATCCATCAAGTGCTTATTCTAATTGTAGGAACATGTGTGGAAATCCAAATAAAGGATTAGTCAGGAAATTGTGATTTAAAAAAACAACAATGAACCAATGTGGCTCTCAGAGCAGGTTAATATCTTAACAGATGCTATATAATTTAACAAGATTTTTTGAGCAAAAGCTTTGTTAAGGAATGAGGGAAACAATACTTTTTTCGATAACATATGCCACTGAACAGACACATCACCCACAATCATTATTTTTCACATTGGCTTAGATTTTAATTATTTCCTTTTTGGAGGTAGGATTAGGTAGAGGATGTAGCAAGGAGAGAGTACCCTTGAATCTCCATGTGACCGTATCCATAATCAGGTCCTCTGTCTTCTTACTTTTCCACCTCGTCCCTGTCTCCCTAGTAAGTCACTGCAAGCACTGGGGGACAGATCAATGACAGGATCAGTTTCTGAAATCCAAGAGACTTCCAGACCCTTAGGAGAAACAGCTACAGGTAGGATTTTGTTCCAGGGAACGTTTATATTCTTTGAGTAGTACTGAAATGTTATACTGAATGGCTTGAAATAAGTAGACCTTCAACTGAGACTCTGTAAGAACTTCATTGTTTGATAATAGGCCTTATAATAGAATTTGACTTATATAGTTTCCATAATGATGGAGTGGTTGTCAGTAGTCTGAAACTTATTTTAATAAAACATTGTACATAGTCACAAATTAATAATGTACTCAGCAAATATTTACTGCACATGTATTATGTGATGGGCGTGCTTCACTAGAATGAAAGGATGAGTAAGACCCTGTCCTTAAAGTTCCCATAGTTTATTAGTGTCACAGAGAATAAATGACAACAGGCAGATGATGAGAGCAACAGAAACAGATGCAGAGACACACAGAGGAGGCAGTGATAGATTGTGTTAGCAGTAAAGTGAGGTAAGGTGGGAGTTGGCGAGGCAAAGTTGCCTCAGGGAAATGAAACCTAAACAAGATTTTTATGAAATTTAGAGGTGGCTGCAGGGGAAGGGCATTTCAGCAAAGGGACCCGTATGCATATGCAGAGCCACGGAGGTGTGAAACAGCGCTTAAGCCTTGAGAGTGTTGATATCTGGGGTGAGGAAGAGGAGCAGACCAGGAGCAGGGCGCAGAGCACTGGGAGTCAAGGAGCTTGTGTATTCCTGTCCCCGGTAGCCATGCTGCCCCATAATGTAGCCACTAGCCATGTGTGGCTATTTAAATTGAAAATAACCAAAATTAAATAAAATTAAAAATTTATTTCACTGGTCGCACCAGCCACGTTATAAATGCTCACTAGCCATGTGTGGTTAGTGGCTATCATATTGGACAGTGCAGATTAGAGAGTTTGCCCATCATCACAGAAAGTTCTATTGAACAGTATGCTACGAGGGGCCTGTGGCCTCTGAAAAGAACAAGCACAGGCTTTGTTTCAACTGAGGGTAACTAAACATGGTAACTTGGGTTTAAATTTAAATATATTATCCTCCACTTGAAGAAACTTTGCTACTTGAATGTTTTGGGTGAAAGGTTTTAGTTCATGGTCAATTATGCTAAATCTATGTTTTACTAATTTTCCATCTTTGACTCACAGGATTCTCACATGCTCTCTCTTCATCTCTTCTTTCTCTCTCTCAACTCCATTCAAAGTAACTTGCAAAGATGACTAGGTGGGAAAGATTAGTAATAATAATTGCCAAATTTGATGCCAGGCACTCTTCTAAGAGTTTTACGTATATTAGCTACTTTATTCTTCATGATAGTGCTCTGAGGTGGACATTATTATTTATTTTTATTTCTATTCTACAGTTTGAGGAGACGGAGGCACAGTAATGTCAGTTAACTTGCCAGGTCTTATGATAAGGAAATGAAAGTGCCAGGATTCGAATTCTGGCTCCCGATTTGGGAACTTGCCCACTGCACTCTGCTGTCACCAAGGAGTCTGTTGGGGCAGGGTTGGGTGGAGAAGAGGCTGGTATATTGATCCCTCAAATCG